AAAGCCATAATAATTCCTGTCGACAAGTGAGGAAAATCTATTGCTGTTAATCGGGGCACAATGAATATTCTGTTAGCTGCCTAGTGCTCATGTACTACGTACGTACGTATTGTACTGTAGACTTACAGGTAAGAACGCTCGCATCCGAACCTATTTTTTTATTACAATAATATTGTTGAATATAACTAACTAAATATTTTGATAAAACTACGGAAACAATACATTATAAATTATAATACATTAAACTTTAATTTAATATGCATTCTTTAATAAATTTATTTATTTTTAAATATTTTAGGTAGGGCATGTACCCGCGTGCCTCATAAAACAAACCACCACTGATTTGTATATAATGTATTTTAGGTCTGTATTTTTGAAATTTGTAGTAGAAAAAAATTTGATGATCTTCAACGTTTTTATTTGCCATTGTCTTTTCTTATGATAACGAGTTTATCTTTGGAGTTAAATAATGTAATTTTTGTGAAGTTTCGTGTCTCACTCAAATGTAATTGTGAATGTAAATTTTAAGTATTTATTCCCTAATTGACTTAATTGTTTTTTCAATTTATATACGTTTAAAAGTTAAAACGTTGAGTTCTGGCTTTTTAATTTCTATGACCATGGACCACGCAAGAATGTTTTTGTGGTTAAGGTGATTTTAAATTCAAGATGAGAATACGACATTTTTATAAAATAATTTGTGGTAGGTACATTAAAACAGTTAAAATATCGAGTTTGATACCAGTCTTAAGAGAATAACTAGATAAGTACGCTCCAAATATTTTTAAATAATTTATTAATGAAAAGGATATATATTATATTATATAATGGTTCTTTAATATTAAAATTTATTAGTCATCATTTTTTAGTTAATTTATTTCACGGTAAAAATGATTTTGGAATAAAATGTGTTAAGTATTATGCGTGGTAATTTATTATATTTCAAGATTTGATTTTGAGAAGTTGTGTTGCGTAATACTTCAAAACTCATCTTTTACGATGACTCAGAAGTTTACAACTATACCCAATACAAATCGACTATTTTATGCAAGCTGTCGGATAAGTGGGTAGAATTTTTTTTCTCGGAACACTTATTATGTGAACATTGGATGATTGCACTTTCGTAAAATATAAAAAAATAAATAAACATACGAAGAGAAAATATAATGATATAATTATGATAATAATAATAATAATAAAAACAACAGTAACAACAATAAAACAACAACAACAACAATAATAACGCACAAAAGAGTTGCGTGGCTAAAAACTTGTACATTACATACAACTTCAGGACCGTGGACGTCGACATAATATTATTTTATTTATGCACACTATCCATTGTGCAATAATAATTATGTTGTCATTTTCGTTCGGGACAGCGTTACGGCTGGCCGGAATTTCGCCATAGTTCGGCACACTGACAAGCGGTGGCTAAGTACACTTATCCACGCGCTATAACGTGTGGAACTACCGCTAACGAAATACGCAATGGCGGAAGAGTATTGAAATATTGTTATTCATAAAACTATATCGACGAAAAATGACGGAAAACTGTCTGTTTAAACGCCTAACTGATAGAACTGGGTAGAACTCTGAGTTCTTTATAATGTCGAGCCGTATAAATCCTTTTTCTTTAGATAGGTGTGTATTCATGTTGCACGATTTTGTTGAATTTCAAGTGGTTTTATAGCATTATCGGAAAAACCGACCTAAACTAATAGACCGTATCGGAAGATATAGCTGGCATGTAGAGTGCGTTGCGTGCGCAGTACATACGATTTCAGTAGATATGGATAATATGTTTAGTTTGTAGAGTTTGAAGATAATATAGACTATTTAATTTGATGATCAAGTGTTCGACGTGTATAGGTTCGACGTGTGTGTCTAATCACCGAAGATTTCAATCAGTAATTAGACCGACTTAAATATTTCACTCTTATTGTTACTCTCTAATTATTTTTTTTTTGATATTATTTTTGATAACTGTATCATTACAACTATACTGACTAGACGTCTGTACTAAAGTAAAAGTATAGAGAAACGGTTTGTGATTTGTGATCGTTAAACATGTGCTTCAATTAGATTTAAATCCAATTGTTGAGTTTCTTAAAGATGTGATCTAAATGCGAGTAATTACATTTTGGTGGCATTCTAGTATACAAGTATAATATTAGGTATGCTAATATACGATTTAAAACCGTGTTCGGCTAACATGTCTAGATAATCATTATTTATGTTTCCTAAGATATCAATGTTCATATTATTTTTCATTTAGAAATATATCTGAATTTTCTTTTTCAAAAAAGTTATGTAATTTTACAATGAAATCCTTACTACTGTTACTTACTGATAATCTATGTAGGTACGCAGTAAAATACTATATGTGTATTATTTATACATAGTGACAATTTTAAGATGTTTCTTTTAACAGACCTAATTCATATAAATTTACCATTAAGCTAACTAAATTTTACGAAAATTATTATTTCATCATTTTCGTTTCGTTTAGTGGGTGAAAAATATGTATTATAATATTATTTATAACCATTTATTGTACTCACGTTGTCTTCTTCATTATGCCATATTTTAGTTAACATGAGAATATCTATTATTTTATAATTTATTTAATTTTTTTAATACTACAGAAGTTCATCAAAATTCGCATTTATACTACGTATGATGGTACTCATTACATTTAAAAAAGCATTTTTGTTATTATTAAGATTAAAATTAATTTTAATATCAGTTACTGATTCAAAATATCTAGTACTGTAGTTATTATATTTTTTTTTATCACAACTAATATATTAGTAATTTAAAGATAAGAAAAAATGTCTCTATTTTAATATTAAAGAAAATTATGCAACTTTTGAGATTGGTATTTCATCATTAACAATTATTGTTTTAGCTCTAGATTTTTTTTTATCGAAAATTGTATTATTTTTGAACAATATATATTTGTAACTAACCTGTTTAGCTGTAGTTCTTGTTTTGAAAAATACATTTCTGTGTGTAGAACTCGTTAAAATATACAGCAAATTCACTTTATATTAAGTTTACATATTTCGTAAATAGTTTTTGGTTTTTTTTTTACTATTCCATAAATTTGTTTTTTTCATTTACGGAATTAAAGCGTACAAATAATTTTTTAGGTTTATCAGAAAGTGTCGATGATAGTAGAAAAGCTTTTCGAGTTGTAATATCTGTACTTAATTCGGATATAATTGTTTGTAGTTTTTGTACCAATTTCATTTTTGATCTCAGGTACGTCTAAAATGTCTACACGACACTTCAATGTTTTTTGTTCAAGTTTGTTTAAACGTCTCGACAAAGTTTCCGTTTCTTTCTTTAATAATTTTTCTTCCATAATTCTTTTATTTTTTCTCTAAAATTGTTTATTGTTGAAAACAACTGTTTTAATTGATGGTTAAAATCATCAAACTGAGAACTCGTAAAATTCCCAAAATTCACAACACTTTTCAGTGTTTTATCGGTAACTGTTTTTCCCGGCGAAATAGTTGATGAAACTGATGTATTTTTCGTTTTGCAAGTTGAACAAAATCATTTTTTCTTTAAAATGTTCGATATTTTTCTATAGTTGACTTGTCTATGGTCTGCGAAGTTGAAGTGTAAAAACTCTTAACATAAAACACAACTGATGTCGTCGCCTTGAAATACATCTTCATTAAAAATTAAACACAATATGACGTATAAAATAATTATTAATCAATAAATAAAACTATATTTAAGAGACTATAAATATTGTAATCGAACATTACAAGTTTCTGCAATAAAATTCAGTATATAACTAAATAATTTGTATAATAACCACTTCGAAACACAATAAAACAGCAACTGTACAACGACAAGTTGACAACTACAGCGATGGGGTAATATTATTATTAGTACGGTATAGTACTATAGTATTACAATATTATTAATGTATTTTTATAGACCATCGTGATAATATGTGGATTAAACCGTAAGATTATTTGGGGGAAAAACTCTCCATTTGCTGCGTAATACGTCTATGCCATGTGTTTAGTTATTAAACAATAAAATTTACATAATTAATATATCTAATAAAGAAAAAAAAATAACGCTAACATGTGTACATGTATATGATGTAAAATAGCCTAACAAATTTCACGTCGAGTTTTACTGTTTTTCTCATAATTTCACAGTCAACTTATACTTTTCCGCTCATATGCTTATTGTAATTACTATAAAAAATTGTATATATTCAAATAAATGTTAAAAAAAAAAAAAACCTAATAAAGATCACTATAGATTATTCAATTCGTTCTATTTTCGGTTATTATCTTGTCGCAAACGTAGCGATTCATTTACATATTTATGTATGTATAAAAAATTTTGATAATAACGACTTGTGAGTTGTGCTGTTTGTATAATATAGTTAAATCATACGGCGTTGGAGCCCCTCTCACCTATTAAACATATATCCCTCGCCCATCACCTAGTAAATATTCCTCTCTCGTCGTCAGCGTAAACCCGATAAGTTGTTATAATTGCGCTACCTACATAGTCGTATATACACTTACGCCCATTAATATAATATTAACATTATTACTATTTGTAGCGAACTCGACGGGTAAGTCCATCACGGATGTTGCACCGCACGTGCGTGACGACAATAATTATTATTATTATTATTACTATTATTATTATCGTTGTCGTCGTTACACGACAACGCGTAGTCGCCACCACCGCCGTCGAGTAGGTACTTTAAGCACGGCGGTGGCGCGCGCGATTTTTGGGGTGGCGGCGGCGTACAATAAACGTGGCGCAACCTCTCGCCCCGCGGCCGAGTCACATTATTATTATTATTATTATTATTATTACCGTCTGCCGACCGTCGTCGGCCGGTCGTTGCACGTCGTCTCGCCGATCCCGCCAACAGCCGGTCATCACCGTTGCATTTGTTTCCGGATGCCGTCGAACCGTCGCGCGGACGATGATCGCCAAATAACGACAACGACAATATATTTTGTCGACCGTACATGAAGATTTGCTGCCGCACCGCCGTATGCCAATTTATTCATAAATTTGTATACCTGCTTACCGCGGTCGGTTACCGTTCTCGCCATCCGGACCGTAGTCATTACGATATACTAGGTACTGCACGCTCCCGCGTCAATTGAGTCGCATACCGCGGTAACCCGCCGCCGCCGCCGTGTACAACGTGTGCGGAGAAAATTTTTTAACCGTCAAAACTTACTTCCGATCACTTTAATTGCGTCGCGGTCGTCGAATCGACGCGAAAATTACACCGACAACAACGTCGTGACGCGTCCGTTCGTCTCGGAAAATTTATAATTATTATTACACACACACTATTTAGTATTTTTTAATTGTTCGTTTTTTTCAACAGTTATTTTAGCGATTTACTTAAACCTTTTCTTATCACAATAGCCACCGGCGTACGCGAATGTAGTTTAGCGTATTCGACGCGGCGTAGTTTAATTATAAGTATGTACACCGAGGATAAAGTCCATCATATTCACTGTGAGTATTATAAATTATATTGTTATTATGTGTCATGCGTCATGTCATGCCGTACAAGTACAACTATTCTTTCGTAACGCAAAATATTGTACCTACCTACATGATAATTATAATATAATGACAAGCACAGCTGATAATGTTATTAAGCTTGTATAAATTATAATGACCTCTTGCATATACATTATAATGGTTTTCAATCAGTGGTACGTGGAAAGCTTGTAGGTACTATATATATATTATATGAGGACATGCGGTACGCTAAGAGAATTATTATTATTTTATTTTTAATTATTTCTAATAAAATTTATAAAATTATTATTATTAAGTAATATGAATAAGTATGAATTTATGAATACCTCCTTTAAATTAAATTTGTGGCTGAGGCATAAACTTACAAAATAATTACATAATTATTAATAAAGCTTTGAACAATATAATAATTATTAACTAATTAACTTTTTTTTTCTTGTCTTGCTAATAACATTTATACTAATTCAAGTATGAGTTCTTAATAACAAATGAAGGTAATAGATTAATAGGTATGGAATGGTCAACGAAATCAAAAGCCTTTGAAATGTCCATAAATATTCCTTCTGTTTTTGTACCTTTGTCAAGTGACTCATAAATAAACTTATTTGTACTAATGAAGGTTAGTTTTCGTTCTAATACTGAGTCTAAAACTAAATCTGTGTATTGAGAGAAAATATAGGCTTATTATTGTTTATGATTTGTTTGTCTCTATTTTTGTGTAAAGGTTTGACTATAGTTTATTTAAATGTATTTCGAAATAATTTATATTTTTTACTTTGATTGAAGATATATGTTAGAGCTTTAAAAATACAATCAGTTACACATTTCAAAATTTTTATAGATACGCTATTAAAACCAGCAATTGTTTCATATTTTAAGCTCTTATAATTTGAATAATCTCCAATTCACTTATAATTTAATTAAAATAGATATCAAATAGTTTATTTGTTGAGTTTTCTATACAATTAAAACAAGACGTACCTAATACTGTTTGCACATAAGTCTGCGCTTCTCAGTCAGGTATGGCTAAATTCAATCTGACTATCCATCCTCCCCCCACGGTCACGGTTATAAAAGAAAAAAAATTATGCTTTCCATTTTTATGAATATCAATTTAATAATAATAATAGTTATAACTTGTAATATTCAACATATAGTTATGTAATTGAGATATCAATGGAAGATCTAAAGTTAACTCACATTTTAAGCTGATTATTAGGACTTAAATAGATATATTAAAATAAACTTTGTTTGAAAATAAACGCTTATACTAATGTTCAAACTGTATAGCAATAAGTAATGTTAAGGTTTATTATATTTGTATTAGACCATTTGATCATTTGACTATTTTAATTATTCAATTTGGAGTATAATATTTCATTTTTGAATACTAACAAAATAAGTAATTTGGAAGTAGGTTTTGAACAATAAAAAACTAGTACAAGTGTAAAAAATCCATAAATAATTTGTTCAATGGGATTTAATCAAAATGTCACAATGATTATAATACGACACGGCAGAATATTGTTTTCATTAACATACCTAATAAACAAAATACAGTTAACTAAAATATATATATACAAATTAATTAATTAATTTCATTTATAAGCTTTGTTATATCTAATCTATTAATACAAAATCATAAACAAAAATTGAAAAAAAAATTAAATGTCCACGCATTACACATAATAAACTGAAATATTTTGGAAATTAATGTCAATAATTTTGATTAAATTATTGTAAAAAACTTGTATTTCATAAATATTGATATTTTTAATAAATTTATTTTTATTTTTATTTTCCGTAAATTTTTTGAAAAGTACCAAACATTTTTTACATGTTTTAAAATTCTAAAATACCATTTGTAATCAGAAATTATTTTCAATATTGAAAAATTTTATCTGGTTTTTACAGTTAACTTTATTTATATTTTCTAGTGAAAAATAAAAACATTTATTTAATTTACTCAATATGTTTTAGAATCTAAAAAATAGAATTTTTTCTTCGATGTTTATAAAATGAGAATACACATAAGAATACAAAAAAATGATCAGGTACTGATGCTATATCATTCGTATCACGATTTTTTTCCGTCTGTAATCATCCACAATTTGAATAATAATATTAATGCATAACAATATAAAATAATCATTTAAAAACCAATCAATTATAATCTATACTTTTGGGCAAAATGATTTCATTTAAGTAATTTTTATCACGAACAAATAAAAAAAATGATCAAAGTGTTATTAAATTAAATGGCAAATTGATCAATCAAGTTATTTAAAGCTACCTATTTCAATTTCGTTTGGTATAACTGTGCGAGACTTATTTTTGAGAATGCAGATCTGGCTTATAAAATTCATTGACTTCTATTGTGATCGCCAAACAAATTGAGCCAAGACATTTTAACAATTTTCTGCTTTTTGAAAAAATAGATATTACCCTCCTAGCTTTAGTATAATGTTTCTTAATAAACTTATTTCTAGTTTTGTTAATTTATCAACCCATTTACAGAAAATCAACTATATAGTGCCTACACATCAATCGAAAATGACCATTCCTTAAAAGCATAATAATTGTCTGTCAATGATTACATTTATTATTTCTCATCTAAATCATTATTAGATTAACGCATGAAAATTATGTATATCGTCAATGAAGAAACTAGTATTAATTTCTGATGAATTTTGAAATAAATTTATCAAATTGTATCTACAAAAAATATTTTAAAAGATTCACTTTCATTTGTTTATTATTTTATAGATGAAAACAGTTTATTCGTAAGATAGAAATTTAAGTTTTACTAAATTAATTTTTTAAAATATGTAGATTAATTTATAGATTAAACATATTTATACTATGAACCTAATCACATTGTTTTACAAAATAAGGCAATATTGGTTCAAAATATAATGACAATCCGTTATATAATAATTAAATATTAGTATTATTTATAAATATAATGTTTTTGACAAAAATAAATCAACCTACCGTAATATTAATAATAAAATAAATTACTTTAATAACGATGTTAAAAAAAAAACATATTATGATATATATTTAGTGATATAGGCTAACATCTACATCTTTGATCAGAAAATCATTTTTCGTATACAATTATACATTATGAAATTTAAATTTAAATCATCTATTAATAACGACCCGTTTAATACCTACAACAGAGCTATACCTAATTACCCACCTATTTAATTTTATTTCTCTTGATACGTGTTAATATTTAAATTGAAAATTTTAGCACAAAATATAGTTAAAATTATTATTTTATTAGATAGTTGAAATCAAAAAACTTAATACTAAGATAATTGCGTACTATATTGTTTTAAAATATAATATATATATTTTTATCGACAAAATTTAATCCAAATTAACTATATTAATAAATTGATTTAATTAACTTTTTTTAAATTTTATGTCAAAATATACAATCTATATAAGATGACATAATATGTATATTTGATAACTGATAAGAGACAAAAGCATGAGTATACACAAAAAAAAAAATGAGTAGCTATATTAATAAGTAAAAATAATATTGAGTATGTAGTTATTTTGATACTCATTATCATAATTATATAATATATAGTTTGTGTAATGTGTATACTTCGAAAAATCTCACTGACGTCAAAGTATTATAATTATTAACCATGTTACTAGAGGTAAATTAACAACTATTATGTATAATATTTTATATTTGAATGATTTTGTAATATACTACTATACAATAAAAATATTTTTTTTTGTATTTTTAGTTTATAAAACCTATACGAATAATTATGTTTTAGGATCTAAGCTATAATTTACAAATAATAAATCTATACAAATTTTTTTTTTTTTTAATTGAAAAGAATAAAAAACGACAGGAATGTATCATAGTAAATTTTAGTAAAACATTTTATTAGATAATGATAATAAAAAAGTACACAAATATCATAATTATCTTACTATATTATTATTATTATTATCGGCGTGTTTTTTCAGATTTCTAAAAAAAATTCATCTTATTATTGTCTAATGATACGTATTTCAAATGAAACTAATGATTGCCTCCTTCAAGTTCTTTTGAATGTACATCAATCGTAGTAATTTATATTCAAAGATTCAACGTTTCTACTCTTAATGCAGCCATGATATATTTTACTGTATTCATACAATGTGTAATACCAATGAAGTCAAGTCTATATTTATGTAGGTAGAACTTGTCTAGTCGTCATACAAATAGGTGATATTAAAAGAAAAAAAAAATACATTTACTTAAATTTTCCAGCAAATTTTTGTTGGTATAATGAATCTAATTTAAAATTTATAAATAAAAATAAATAACATTGATTTATTTAAACTATGCGTAAAAATTTAATAGCTGTATGTTTGTTAGTAATCGGTTAACTTTGAAACTACAGAACTAACTACAGGTAACACATTTTGCACCCCTGAGTCTAAGTCCTCGAGACTGAGAGTATGTCTTAGCTTTATGTTTCAACCCATAAAAGTAGCTATAGGATGGCTCACACATAAATTGTGTTGTTGTTCTCGAAAATTGAATATTTTTTTTATTTATACATAAATTTTCAATTGGTTATAGAAATAAAATATACTAATATTTTAATCTATATCATATGTATAAATTAATATAAGCTTATAACTTATATACATTTTAAAAATCACTCAATCGATTTTGACAAATATTTTTCTTAGGGATATCAGAAAAATGTAGAGAGTAATTTTAATCATATTCAAAAAATTACCTACTAGTATATTTAATTCGTCACTGACGGATTATTCACCTCAGTTTAATTACAAAAAGCGAGGTACACCGCTACTGATTTTTAGATATTATGAACTGTGGTAGTCTGGTAGGTACACTAAAACCAAAATACACCTATATGTAGCGCATATTTTATGTTTATTAATGTATTTCTAGTGCAAAATTGTTGTAATAAATAACTAGT